GGGGAAATCACAATAGCCCCAAAATAATCTGCGCGCATGGAGAAAAAAAAAAAAAAAGAAGGGGCGTCTGATGTATGGGTGAAGAATTTGCACATGCTGTTCAGACATATCTGTGACTTTATTAACCCACGAGGATATGTAAGGACTTTTATTAGACTATGAGAATACAGTACATGGTTTCAAAAGTCCAGATTGCCTGTTGCAGGGGTTAAAGCAAATAGTACGGCCAATAAAATAATTTTACAGAGTTTTACATCTGGAGACGATAGGCAGACGTGTTTTCTGGATCGCCTTTTAAAAAACCTTAATACGAAGTACTAGAAATACAATGCATTTATACTTGAAAACCGAACAAACAAAACTGCAATTTTTGAGCAACTACCAACAACGACAACTGATCACAGCGCTACAGCAGTAAGTTTTATAGAGGGGAAAAAAAAACATAGTTGCAGATTTATTTATTTTTTTACTTATTACAAATAACTTTCACTCAAAGTGAAAATGTCTCAACATTAGAAATATGTTTCTTCGGTGAATATATAAATGAATAAATATTGATTTTAAGACAACTTTCAAATGCTGGCGTTGATTATGAACCAGTAAACAATCAGCACAGGACTACCAAACCCCCTAACACACACACACAAAAAAAAAACAGACACTACCATGTGTTTTCTCAAAACTGTTTTTTTTTTTAGCCTTTACAGATCACCATTCTCTTTAAAGAAAATAGCAACATATTAATACAGCAATCTTGCCATTAATTATTGCGTGTTCATAAATAAAGGTTATTACACCTCAGAGATTTAACTACCAGTAATCTTTAGATTCTGGTTATTGGTGGTTAACGCTGATTAATTATGAAATAAACTAGTTCAGAAATTACTAAACTCTGTGTGAGAAAAAAAAAAAAAATCACTTCTTGCAACAATGATGAGGCGGCGTTGGCAGATTGACAATGCAGGGTACCTCAAAATGGGTGAGATTTAGGGGTACACAAAAAAAAAAAAAAGCCTGTCAATGCTTTTGTATGTATCTGACAGTGAGAATGCCAAATCAGTTTAACCCTCTGACAGGCTTAACCTTTGCAACCTGTGTGCACACATTTCTTGAACCCAAAGATACATGTGGAAGATTAGAGCAATGGGGATTGAAGATAATCTTCTAGGGGGGAGAAAGGGCTTTTGTCAATCATTTTAACAATTTATGCAATCAGAAGGTTCTACCAACAGAATGTTCACTCCCTTCCATTTAACACAGGGGATTGAAGACTAAAGAGATGGGTGCCCCTACATGCTTACAGACATGTTGGATGTTTAACATTAAAGAAGTGCGTAATTAAACTATTTTAGCAGATTTTGCAATGTCTTGCAGCCCTGTCATTGCCAATGTACAAGGCCCCCTGCTATTCTATGCTGGGGGGGATTAAGTCCATGCCCCTTTTACAGAGTAACAATGTCAAGTCACCAAAAAGGAGCATTAACATGTGCTTTTAGTGGATAGTTAAGGATCACTATATTGTTTCTTTTGTGTGGCCAGTTGCACAACACCATAAGAGCCCTTCTCAATAGGATTATAAACATCCAGGAAGCAATATTGCCCTCCCCCCCTCCCCCTGTGTTAGCTAGACATCCTTGGCAGTGTCAATGTAAAACCCACACTATCTGAACATTTAACTTGCACTTGATCCTTACACAAATCAATGTAACTTTTACCCCCCATCACTCTCACCAGTCAGAACCCACACAGCCTGGCAGCCCACCCCAGTACTTTGACAAAACTTGCACTCACTCTCACAAGGTAAGGCTGTAAACAGGCACCCCAGGAATTAGGTGATCACACCCCAGACACCTCCAAAAAAGAGCCCACATTAACTCCTGGAGTGCCATGGACATTTACAGAACCAAAATATTAGGAGCTGGGGAGGGGGTGTGCAAACGTAAACAGGATACCAGACTCCAGGAGCCAGTTTGGGTGCCAGAGGGAGGTGGTATGCACTGCATTGCAAGGTTCCTTCTGGCAGCCAAGGGGTTAAACACAGTATGCAATATTGCAAATAAAGCCCCCCAGACCCATGCATGCAATGCTGTACAGAGGATCCAGGCTGCTGTACTCACCCAGAGGCAGGAAATGCTTGGTGTCCATGGCTGGTTAACTCATGCCAGTGTCTGTGATGAGAGATGGGGGGGCTGTGCCAGATTTAAAATAATAATAATAATGCAATCACCAGTTAGCCGGGGAGGTGTGAGAGAGGCATCAGCTGGACAGGGGGTGTGCTGGAGGGATGGCTGGGAGCCCAGGGAGTTAGAATCCAGAGCTAGAGGAGCCCAAAGCACAGGGAGTTGTTGCAAACTCACCAACAATGTAAGGAAAGTCCTGCTGTATGTCCCCTGCTCCCAGTACTGGCTGCAATGCAAAGGGGCCCCGCCAAGGGGGGCAGCGACGGACGGTCCTCACCGCAGCGACCGCAGCCAGGAGGGGGCCCTAGCGGGGAGGGGGGCAGTGAGGGGCGCAGGAGCCCTGTCTCCTCCCACACTGGGGAGGGGGGAGTGTAAACTCCTGTTAGGGCCACTCGCAGGATCACAGCTGAGTGGAACTCACTTCACTTATTGTAAGTAAAGAGGAGGACACACTCTCTAGAGTCATGGGTTAAACACTCACACTCTTATTATGGAGTGCCCACTCACACTCAGCAAGTTCTTCTTGCGTTTAAGAAACTGAGAATTTACTCAAAGGAAACTCAATGTAAAACTGATACTCAACTACATACTCACTCAGCTACATACTCACCCAGCTCATACTCAGCTACATACTCACTCAGCTCATACTCAGCTACATACTCACTCAGCTCACACTCAGCTACATACTCTCTCAGCTCACACTCAGCTACATACTCACCCAGCTCACACTCAGATACATACTCACTCAGCTCACACTCAGATACATACTCTCTCAGCTCACACTCAGCTACATACTCACCCAGCTCACACTCAGATACATACTCACTCAGCTCACACTCAGCTACATACTCACCCAGCTCACACTCAGCTACATACTCACCCAGCTCACACTCAGCTACATACTCACCCAGCTCACACTCAGATACATACTCACCCATCTCTCCAGCGTATACTCACTCTTATTTCCCAAAATATCACTTACCTCCTTCACTTAGATATATCCGGAATTCCACTGTCACTCAGATATTTATTTATAAAATAGTTTAATTACTAAATATCTGAGTGACAGTGGAATTCCACTTACTTCCCTCACTCAGATATATCAATAACACTCCCCTCCCTCACTCATATATCAATAACACTTACCTCCCTCACTCATATATCAATAACACTCACCTCCCTCACTCAGATATATCAATAACACTCCCCTCCCTCACTCATATATCAATAACACTTACCTCACTCAGATATATCAATAACACTCACCTCCCTCACTCAGATATATCAATAACACTTACCTCCCTCACTCATATATCAATAACACTCACCTCCCTCACTCAGATATATCAATAACACTCACCTCCCTCACTCAGATATATCAATAACACTCACCTCCCTCACTCAGATATATCAATAACACTCCCCTCCCTCACTCATATATCAATAACACTTACCTCACTCAGATATATCAATAACACTCACCTCCCTCACTCAGATATATCAATAACACTTACCTCCCTCACTCATATATCAATAACACTCACCTCCCTCACTCAGATATATCAATAACACTCACCTCCCTCACTCAGATATATCGATACCACTTACCTCCCTCACTCAGATATATCAATAACACTTACCTCCCTCACTCAGATATATCAGTAAGACTTGCCTCCCTCACTCAGATATCAGTAACACTTACCTCCCTCACTCAGATATCAGTAACACTTACCTCCCTCACTCAGATATCAGTAACACCCTCACTCAGATATATCAATAACACTTACCTCACTCAGATATATCAATAACACCTCCCTCACTCAGATATATCGATACCACTTACCTCACTCACTCAGCTATATCGATACCACTTACCTCCCTCACTCAGATATATCAATAACACTTAGCTCCCTCACTCAGATATATCAATACCACTCACCTCCCTCACTCAGATATATCGATAACACTTACCTCACTCAGATATCAGTAACACTTGCCTCACTCAGATATCAGTAACACTTCTCTCCCTCACTCAATTTTTCAGTAACACTTACCTCCCTCCATCAGATATAGAAATAACACTTAGCTCCCTCAGATATATTAGTAACACTTACCTCACTTATATATATTAACACTTACCTCACTCAGATATCAATAACACTTAGCTCCCTCACTCAGATATCAATAACACTTAGCTCCCTCACTCAGATATATCAATAACACTTAGCTCCCTCACTCACATATCAGTAGTAGACACTACTACTCTTACTCCATGAATTACACAAATCTTTTTTAAATTTTATCAGGCTGTAAAATTATCAGGCTGGAAAGTTAATTTGCTCTTTTTTTTTAAAATTAACTATTGTGATATAAAGTTAGCAATTCTGTTATCAATTCACCAAGGTTGGCTGAGATTGACATTAATAACGATCATCTGCATTATCTGAGGAGGGGGAATTATTTATTTCACTTTTCAAATCACTAAAATTAGCTATATAGTGAATAAACCCTTTAATTTTCTTTCAGAAATATATGTCATGGAATCTAATGACTTCTCATAAAGTGCCATTAAAGGGACACTATAAGCTCTACAACACAGTGTAGTGGTTATAGTGCCAGAAGTGCCAAGCAACCCAAAAATTGTAAGGAGTCAAACCTTTTTCAATTTGTTCAAATTCTTTCCAGGGGTTTATCGAACACCGTTCCGATGCTCTACTACTTCCTATGGAAAGATGAACGCTCTATACCTGAGCTTAGTTCTGCAGTGCAGGGCTTAGCTTATTGGCTGAAAGAGATCAATGCTTAGCTCAGGAGCGCTAACGGAATCTTCTGCTGGGATTACAAGAGGCAGTGAGCAATCCCCAGGTACAAAGTAAAAGTATTTTAAAATGTCTTTACTTATAAAGCAGAAACCCTAGAGTACTCCTGACACCTTAAAACTTTATGAAAAACTCATTTTTCAGAGGGGTAGTAGAGTGCATCCTCCCCTTCTGAAAAGTGAGTATTTCATAAAGTTGGAATCGTTATGAAATACTCATATTAACTGTGTTTGAATTTCACTGAAATTCCAATCCAGTCAAGAGATATACAGAGACAAAGTAAGGACTGCTTTTTTTGACACAAGGCTGTGTCTATTGTAGATCATGCGGTCTCGAGGGATCATGCCGTGATGTTCGCCCCAAGCACGACCACACCGGACCAAGATGGCGGAGCCCGCGAGGGACAGTTTCAGGTAAGTAAATTCACCTTTACCTGCCCCCTTCGGCCATCGGACCCCCAACGGCATTGTCACCATCTGGGGACTTTGTGTATTCGACAAAGTACCCAAACGGCGACAGTGCCTCTCTAGCCACTACAGCAAGCTTTAAAAATTAAACAGAAATGTAGAAATAAAAAAAAAAATCTCTGAAAGTTCCTCTGTACATTTTTTAGCACCATTGTGCTATATAACCTGGACCTCGTAAAAGATATTAAAATTATTGTTTTCTATAAAGCTCCAACATATTCCACAGCGCTGTACGAAGGGTAAACCAAGCACACAGGTAATTGCGACAAACCAAGTTTACCATACTGGAATAACAGGTGATCACGGCCGTGCCCAATGTGACCTTATAGGCTGAGGGAAGTATGATCACGGCAGTCTGTCTAAACAGACTGTTGACATCCAAGGTGCAACTTGCAGGCAGAATACTGCTGTTATTAAAAACAACCTACAAAACAGCAATTTCAGCCCAATTTTTCAGTCATGTTGTCAGACCAACTCAAAGCACTGATTAGTCAATAAGCATCAAAAACGCTCTGTTGTTAGCTGGTCATGTTAATAATATCTATGCCATTCACCATCGATCAAATAATAATCACTGATGTTGTGCATTGTTATCTGACATCTACCGAGTTAATAAAAAAAAATGTTTTTTTTTTTTAGCCAAAATAGCCAAACTGGACACATACCCGTCTTGGAGTTTTTCCTCCTTAAAGGGACACTATAGTCACCACAACAACTACAGCTTAATGTAGTTGTTCTGGTGAGTATAATCATTGCCTTCAGGCATTTTCATGCAAACACTGCATTTTCAGAGAAAATGCAGTGTTTACATTGTCCCTAGGGACACCTCCTCAGATGGCAACTGGAGGGGCTTCCTAGGGCAGTGCTGCACAGTAGGCAGCACTGCTGTTCAGCTTCTCCACACTCTGCATGGGGACGCTGAATTTTTCTCATAGAGATGCATTGATAGGCCAAAAAGGCATTTGACCCCACCCCATCCCACCTCCTTGATGATTTTAACAAATCAAATGGGATTGGCTAAAAATCTGCTATACTGATGATGTCATCAAGGAGGCGGATTGGGACCCACGCGGCGCTGGAAATAAGGTGAGTTTTAATTCCTTTTAAGGGGGCAAGCCACCTAAATGGTGGTTTTAACACTATAGGGTCAGGAATACATGTTTGTGTTCCTGACCCTATAGTGTTCCTTTAATTTAGAAATTTTACTGACAATTCAAAAATTAAAGCGGCTCTGTCATCTTCCGTGGTCTTTGCATGTTTTGCATATATCCCCACTTTGTGTGTGTAGGTCGGGAATGAATCTAAAGGTCAGGGCCAGCGCGTCGATAAGGCGGCACACGCGGCCGCTTTAGGGTGCCAGAGCAGGGGTGTGCAAACTTCCGAATCCCCTGCCTGCGACTCGGGCCCTGCCTACCGCTCCAGCCCTGCCTGCGACTTGGGCACTGCTTGCGGCTCTGGCCCTGCCTGCGGCTCTGGCCCTGCCTAAGGCTGGGGACTCAGATTTTTCACATTACCTGTCTCTCTCCCTGCAGCCAGCAGCTATCATACAGCAGGTGGGATCTCGCCTGGCCTCTCCTGATGATGTCAGGAGCAGGGGGCGTAACTTTCACATTTTTTTTTCTTAGCCCATGCCCCCCTCTACAGCCCCTGCCCACTACTTCTATAGCCCCTATGTCCCCTATCAAGCCCATGTTCCCCTTTCTATAGCTGCTGCCCCCTCTACAGCCCTTGTTCCCCTTTTACAGCCCCTACCCACCCCTTCTTTTGCCCCTGCTTACCCCTTTTACAGCCCCTGCTTACCCCTTCTACAGCCCGTGCCCATCCCTTCTATGGTCCCTGCCCACCCCTTGCTTAGCCCCTGTGTCCTCCACCATAGCCCCTGCCCCCCACCACAGCCCATATCCTCCTCTCTACAGCCCATACCCCCCCCACTCTACAGCCCATACCCTCCCACTCTACAGCCCTTGTGTCCGTCCATCCCCTCTACAGCCCCTGTGTCCGTCCGTCCCCTCTACAGCCCCTGTGTCCGTCCGTCCCCTCTACAGCCCCTGTGTCCGCCCGTCCCCTCTACAGCCACTGTGGTCGTCGTCCCCTCTACAGCCCCTGTGTCTCACCCCTCTTCAGCCCCTGTGTCCCCCCACACTACACCCCCTGTGTCCCTCTCCTCTACAGCTTCTGTGTGTGCCCCCCTCTACAGCCCTGCAAAGTCAAGGGGCAACTCACCACCAAGCTGATCTAATGGTGGCCTCCTAGACACGACCAACAGCGAGACGCAGGTACTACCAACAAGTACCCCGAGCCATCAGGCAAAATAGATACCGGAGTGCCTTGTGGCGGAAAACGGTGCCAGGCCTCGCGGACACACGCACCCACCCACACACAAACAACACTGGGACCTCAAACCCAGCGAAGCACACAAATAAAGCACCTGACATTAGACCCGGCTACCGGTGCAACACCAGATACCTCTTCCCAACCACTGCGGCAACACAAGCAACTGCGAGACTGCACGCCAAGAAGAGACACACTGAAGCTGACTCCCAAAACGGAGATATTGGGCCATGCGACCGCGAGGAAGGGACTAAAAGCAACAGCCCAAGGGTCCTACCAGCGCTGGGTATAGGCTGAGGTGCCTACCACACTGCTACACAAGGGTGAATACAACCTGGACTGTATCCGAACACCCAACACAGCTGCCCACCCAGACCCAGAGGCCTAAAACAAGCCCCGAATAGACAATGCTCACATGTCATCACAGACTTGTGGTAACAAAGTACTAAAGTGACTAATGATAGTATTAAAGTGACTGATGATAGTATTACAGCGACTGATTATAGTATTACAGCGACTGTTGAAAGTATTAAAGCGACTGTCAATAGTATTAAAGCGACTGTTGATAGCATTAAAGCGACTGATGAAAGTATTAAAGCAACTGTCAATAGTATTAAAACGACTGTTGATAGTATTAAAGCGACTGTCAATAGTATTAAAGCGACTTATAATAGTATTAAAGTGACTAACATAGATTTAGCCTACTATAACATAAAAATTGTGCCTGTTAATCTCTTGTCCCATATGTTTAACGAGAAAAGCCTGAGGAATGCTTTCGGGGCACCTCACGTCTGTTTGTAATATCTAAGTGCACTACAAAAATAAAGAATTAAAAAAATTTTTTTTACAAAAGGCTAAATTTAGCAATCTGCTTCCCAACAAAATATTTATGGCATGATTTTTATTTTCATTTTTATTATTGTCTTACTCTGGCAAAACTAACAGCATAATTTAAGTGAACACGATAAAAAATTCTAAACTTTTAACGTCTCTATACAGGTAACACAATACAGTTTGAAAAACAGCTTGAGCAAGTGAGTTAGAGAATAAGTCCCTTAAATGCAAAAGTCACTTTCTTAATACATTTTGACCCTATGCTTTTTAGCATTGACTGAGCAAGTGGAAGAGTTGAACATTTAAACATAAAACAGATTTATGGTCTCCACAATGTTATATTCTTTTAAATTATTGTAATTGATCTGTATGAAAACGTAAAACAGATGTATAGGTTGTGCACGGTGGTATTTTTTTTTATTTTTTTTTGTGTAATCTGAATCTTTTCTCGAGAAACGAGAATGTACATTGATTTTAACAGAAATGTCTTTCTATATTATAGTCAGACTTGAAACTGTTTTAGGTTACAAACTTCATAAACATTTTAAGCTTAAGTGGAAATTTGTCATACTGGCTTTGAGACAGAATGTTTTAATGGACAAAATATTAATCACTGTAAAGAAAATTATGCGTTTTGTTTAAGCTCAGAGCCAGTTGTCCAATCAATTTACATCACTGACAAGTATTAATTTACCTTGCTATTATTTGTCTAGTGACTTATAGTCACAAATTAATCAAGCCGTTTAAGGGGGAAATGTCCTATATAGAAAGGTTCAAATTCTATAATAATCTGCAAGGAATAGTTACAGGGAAAAATATATATAATTATAGTCTCTTGTTTGGTCAGGACCCTATTCAACCAATATTTCAATTTACATACTTTGTCAGTTCTTGTGCTGGTTTATTTATCTTTCATAAAATCAAACTGCTGTCGAATATGTTTATTTATTTTTATTTATTTATTATTGCAATTTATAAAGCGCACACAGATTCCGCAGCGCTGTACAATTAGTTGAGAAACGTACAATATACACAAACAAATACAAGAGGTAAGATAGCCCTGCCCGTAAGCTGATATCTAGCCATTGGAGCTCTTTTATACAAAGTGCTTAGCTAGATGGCCCTTGAGCTTACAATCTAAAGGATACCAGGGGGATTTGAGACAAAAGGTAGCAGGGGAAGTTTTGGAGGTGATGGCTGAAAGAGTTAACAGAGAAGCAGCTATTGGTAAGATGTTAGGGGAATGAACAGGTAATTGGGTGAGAATCTCGAACAACAATCAACTCAGTGAAGACTGCATTTACCATCCTGAAGAAACACCCATCACTCTCAGGCCTCACTTCACAATCAACTCAGTGAAGACTGCATTTACCATCCTGAAGAAACACCCATCACTCTCAGGCCTCACTTCACAATCAACTCAGTGAAGACTGCATTTACCATCCTGCAGAAACACCCATCACTCTCAGGCCTCACTTCACAATCAACTCAGTGAAGACTGCATTTACCATCCTGCAGAAACACCCATCACTCTCAGGCCTCACTTCACAATCAACTCAGTGAAGACTGCATTTACCATCCTGCTCTATATACGAAGTCTCTCCGGAAAGTATCAATCTGTGTAATATGAAAAATAGAGATTTATTTAAGAAGATACAAGAAACATTGTACCTAGGACAATGGCGCCTCAGTCCCCTTAAAAGTAGGCACTTTGGGACCTCACAAAGTTCTGCAAGATCCTTTCGCCATCAGCTGCCTCGTTGTGTTTACCTGAATCTCATCGACTGTCTGAAATCTCTTCCCTTTCAAAGGTGATTTTAGTTTTGGGAAAAGCCAGAAGTCGAATCCCAAATCTGCGCTGTAGGGGGGCTAAATCACTGGGTGATTTGTGCAATACTTTTAGTTGCGCTGCACTCGTTGCATCGTCCCCAAAAACCTTTTGAATCATCCGAATACTTTCTGCGACGGAATGTTCAAGCTTAATGCAAAATTTGAGGCAGATTTTTTGCTCTGCTCACTCAGCCATTTTGAATGTGATGACCACACAGTACACAAACTCACTCAACGGCATCTAGAACCCCCACTGACTAGTACAGTGAAGTCATCATTGCTCACGCATGCGCATTCCAGTCCACTCTCCTTGGCTGCCAGGTTACATCGATGTCGTGCAAAACATTCTTGTCATATTAACAATAACTGGACTTTTTCCAGACACACCTTGTATATAAATTAATATTCTTTACAGGCTGTGAATATCACATTGTGGACAAAAGCTGTGTGGGGCTACCAAACATTTCAAATATACTATGAGGGAACCTTTAATTTTTGTGTGTGAGTGGGAAATTTTAGGTTACATAACAATTTATGTAGTTCAAATGTAATTTAGAACAAGAACAGTGTATCTTATTTATACAGTCTGATATCTAAAAACATTTATTGTAGTGTAAAAGAAAAAAGGGACATTAGGATAGAAAAGAGAGACACAGAGGAATTTTGACCATAATAGGTACTGTCCCTTTTAACCCCTTAAGGACACATGACATATGTGACATGTCATGATTCCCCTTTATTCCAGAAGTTTGGTCCTTAAGGGGTTAAATAGGGACACTTGGGAGGTATGGCAATAAGGCCTTCAATTATTTTAGATGGACACTCAAAAGTTTTTACAATTCCATTTCTTCAAATCTATTTCCTAAGCGCCACCATCAGCTTAACGTAATGGTTTGGGTGCAAGCAGTGCTGTATTTAGCCCAAGGCAAACTAGGCATTTGCATTGGGTGGCACTAACCAGGGGGCTGCAAAAAATGCCACCCCAAAACGCCAACTCGGGTGTCCCCTGGTGTTTCCCCCAGTGTTTCCCCCTGTCATGGGGGGTCCATAAAGTGGCCACCTTATGGACCCCCCGGCGCGCAGCTATGTTAGAATCAAAGGCGGCGAGGGAGCTGTGATCTCCCTGCTCTGCTCCCTTGCGTACTGTTTGCTGATGCCGAGGGAGCCGGAATATGATGTCATTCCGGCTTCCGGCATCAGTAGATGGACGCTAGGCGCGAGGGAGCAGAACAGGGAGATCACAGCTCCCTCGGTGCCTGTGATTCTAACAGAGCCGCACGCACAGCTCTCACAGCAGCCCCACTGGACCCTCAACGACAGGTTGGAAGGCTGGGTGAAAAATGCAAAAGTATTATAATGATATTAATAATTAGCGTGTATGTTTGTGTATGAATGTGTGTGCATGTGAGTGTATGAGTGTATTTGAGTGTGAGTGTATGTGTGTGCATGTGAGTTTATGGGTGTGTGTGTCTGTCAAATCAGCGAGAGTCTGTTTGTCATTGAGTCTGTGTGTGACTGTCAGTATGTGTCTTTCAATGAGTGTCAGTGTGCATGTGTCTGTTAATGAAGGAGTGTGTGTCAGATCCGTGAGTCTTTGTGTTTGTCATTAAGTGTGTGTGACTGTCAGTGCGTATCTGCCAGTTTGTGTCTATTGGGCAATATGTGTGTGTCAGATCAGCAAATCTTTGTCTGTCAGTGATGTCTGATACAATGCTTTCCTATGGGGAAGCCTAATGTAAGCGTGGAGGAGGAGCCTGACCCAGCGCCGAGGGACATCGACACTGGATTCAGGTAAGTCACTGAAGGAGTTTTAACCCCTTGAGTGGGGGAGAGAACAGGAGGGCGGAAGGCACTATGGGGAACTATAGTGCCAGGAAAGCTTTCCTTCCACCATAGTATCCCTTTAAAAAAAGTAGGAAACGGTGGAGTCAAAAGAGGAAGGAGTCGGTGCAAATTTAGATTAGGGGGTTGCCCAGGTTTAGTCTTGCCTAGGGCAGCACAAAACCAAAATACACCACTGGGTGCAAGATGTGTTTTTTTTGCACTGTTCTTCCATTTTTGTAAATCCTTTTAAAGGTGGTTTGACAAGAGCAGGTGAGGACAGCAGTGATAGGCCAGGAGTGCTGCATGGCCAATAAACACACCACTAACAGCCTGTGATTGCCATGCAAGATTGTGGGTAATAATTTGAATCATTATCAAACTTACTCATTACCTGAGTGATCTGAAACTGCGCTATTTGCATAATGTGCTCTTGGTGGGCCGGCTTACTTGATTGGCAGGTGTCTTGGCGTTAGTTCACACCAGGCTGACCTGCCAGTTCTTTCAGAGGACCTGCACCCTTTCTGGACAGGTTTGCACTCTTTTCCCCATTCAGCGGCATCCCACTTCATAGGACGCTGTTAATGATTGGGTTTTGGATGCTAGAAGCTTAACAAAGATTTTTTTTTTTTTTAGCTTCTTCAAAACTGTTAACAGAAAATTCCTTGCACTGTAAAGGGACACTCAAGTGCCCGAATACAAAATAAATAAATATCACTATTTAGTAGGGATACCCCAACAAAAACTTGCATGCATTTA